GAAAAAGGCTAATAATAGATCTGTAGTGAGGAGCTGCGGTCAGGCCTGCTTTTCATCCCGTCCGGCTCCCGCACAACTAGCTTAGCCCTGGAAATAACAACACCCAAGTTGTATTCATTTAAACACTGCCTGGCCCATTATCTCTAGAGAGTTAGTTACTGACTAACTCTCACATCTTGATTAACCCATTTCTAATAATCTGTGTAGCACCACGAAGTGGTAGCTTACTGGAAAAGATTCAGCATGTCTGACCTGGTGGCTGGCCCCATGGCGTCTGTCTCATTGCCCTCCTCCCAGCTTTCTGTTCTGTTTATTCCACCTACCTAATTTTCTGTCCTATCAAAGGGCCAAGGCAGTCTCTTTATTAACCAATGAAAAAACGCATAGACAGAAGGTCCATCTACATCATAGATCCATATCTATCCTCATGCACAAAACTCAGGTCTGCATGGATCAGAGACCTCAACATAATTCCAGATACACTGAACCTGATAGAACAGAAAGTGGAAAGAATCCTTCAATGCATGGACACAGGAGACCACTTCCTAATTATAACATCAGAAGCAAAGACATTGAGAGCAAAAAATAATAAATGGGAGGATCCTCCTGAAACTGAGAAACTTCTGTAAGGCAGAGGACATGGTAAATAAGACAAACAACAGACTACAAAATGGGAAAATATCTTTATCAACCCCATGTCTGACAGAGGGCTGATCTCCAAAACATATAAAGAATTCAAAAAATTAAACACAAAGATAAAAAATCCTTTTAAGATGGAGTGCAGATCTAAACAGAGAATTTTCAACAGAAGAAACTCAAATGGCCAAAAGACATTTAAGTAATTGCTCAACATTCTTAGCCATCATGGAAATGAAAATCAAAAAGACTCTGAGATACCATTTTATACCTTTCAGAATGGCTAAGGTCAAAAACACTTATGACAGCTTATTGTAGAAAGAATGTGGAATAAGGGGAATACTCTTCCACAGTTAGTTTGAGTGCAATCTTGTACAAGCACTTTGGAAATCAGTTTGGCAGTTCCTCAGAAAAATTAGAATCAGGACCTAAGCACTCTTGGGCATATAACCCAAAGGATGTCTGTCAATTCTAGTGTTTTTGGAAGTTGCTTATAGTTCACTTCCTGATAACTTAGGTAATATTATGTCCTTCTGGGGTCTTTGATGGAGTTGAGTAGTAGATAGTTATACTTATAGTTTTCTTTAGTTATGATAAAAGATAATATAGACATAATTATTGTAACTATAATTCTTTCTTGATAGCTGTTTTGTTGTATGTAATCCTGCTATGTTAAAGTTAAAAACATTGTTTTTATTTAGACATAAAAGGGGAGGAGATATAGAATTCTCCTCTGTATGATATGAATATGCTTTACTGCCATTGGTTAATAAAGAAGCTGCGTTTAGCCAATGGTTTAATAGAGTAAAGCAGGGCAGGAATTTCAAGCAGATAGAGGAGGAGAGAGAAGGAGGAGTCAGAGAGATACCATGTAGCCTCCAGAGACGAAAAACACAAACTGCCAACCAGAACTTTGCCAGTAGGCCACAAGCCTTGTGATAAAATACAAAATAATATAAATGGGTTAATTTAAGATGTAAGAGCTAGCCAGAAATACTCTTAAGCTATTGGCCAAGGGGTGTTTTAAATAATATAGTTTCTGTGTGATTATTTTGAGTCAGGGCAGTCTGGAAATGAATGAACAGCCACCAACAGCAACGCACAATCAAACCACAAAGACATTTGCTCAACTATGTTTCTAGCAGCACTATTTGTAATAGCCAGAACCCGGATACAACCTACATGTTCCTCTGCTGAAGAAAGGATAAAGAAAACGTAGTACATTTACACAATGGAGTATTCCTCAGTGGTTTTAAAAAAAATGACATTTTGAAATGTTCAAGCAAATGGATTGAACCAGAAAAAATATCCCGAGTGCGGTAAGCAGATCCAGAGAGACAAACATGGTGTGTACTTACTTAAAGCAAAGGATAACCAGTCTGTAATCCACAACTACCGAGAAACTAAGTAAAAAGGAGAACCCTAAGGGGGACATAAATAGAGGGCCCCAGGAAAGGAAAATAGTTACGATCTCCTGGGAAAACTGGGAAGGGAAGTTAAGGAGAGGACACAGGGGATAGGAACACGAGGGTTCCAGATGCTGAGTTGGGAGAGGCATGGAGAGGGAGAGAAATGAAAGAGATATCTTGATGCAGGAGTCATTATGGGCTTAGGGAGAAACCAGGTGGTAGGGAATTCCCAGGAATCCACAAGGATGACCCTAGTTAAGACTCCTAGCAACAGTGAAGAGGGTGCCTGAACTGACCTTCCCCTCTAAGCAGATTAGTGACTACCCTAATTGTCATCATAGAACTTACATCCAGTAACAGATGGAAGCAGATGCAGTGATCCAAAATCAAGCTCTGGGCTGAACTTCTGAAGTTCAGCTGAGGAGACGGAGGAGGGGTAACATGAGCAGGGAGGTATCAAGATCACAATTGGGAAAACCAAAGAGAACGGCTGACCGAGCTAATGGGAGCTCATGGACTCTGTTCTGACATCTAGAGATCCTCCATGGGACTGAACAAAACCATATGAATTTGGGTGATAGTTAAGTGGCTTGATCTGTGGGGAATCCCCTAGCAGTGGGACCAGCACTTACCCTGGGTGCACGGACTGGCTTTTTGGAGCACATTCCCTATGGTGGGATACCTTGTTCAGCCTTGATACAGGGCAGAGTGGTTTGTTCCTGATATACCAGACTTTGTTGACTCACCAAGGGCGGCCATGACTCCTCTATGGAGTGGATGGGGATGGGATAATGGGTGGGATTGAGAAGGGGAGGGAGGGGAAAATAGGGCAATCATGCAAAATGAAAAAAATAAATAAAAATAAACCACTGGAGCTGGAAAGATGGCTCAATAGTTCAAAGCACTGGCTGTTCTTCTACAGGACTCAGGTTCACTTTGCAGCGTCTGCATGCAGGCTCACAACTGTCTACAACATCAGTTTCCCATATGTGATGCTGTCTTCTAGTCGTTAGTGACACTAGGCATGCACAGACATGCATGAAGGCAAAATACTCATACACATAAAAAACAAAATAAAAAAACACGTTCAAAAACAAAATTCTGGGCCTCTAGTCATCTGTTTCCACTACTAGCTAGAACGCTCCCTTTATTTTTCCATCCATCAGGTTTTGTTCTATTTGTTCCTTAATTTGGAACTTTCCTGATCCTCAGTCTCCCATCCTCCTGTCTAGGTTAAGGATCCTTTGGCATACTGGTCCTCTAAAGTTACAGCGTATCTACCTACTCACAAAACTGTGACCTCTAAAAGCAGGGTCCTGTTAACCCAGCTACTATCAACTCAGATATGACATGCAGTGGGTCTTAGCTGTGCTCTTCCTGTCTCTATCCTTCCCATCCATAGTCTGAGATTTTATTTTAACCAACTCCCTTTGTTCTCAGAATCTGCCAGTGACTGCATCATTGTGTGGTGGTTTGAATAAGAATAGCTCCCATTGGCTCCTGTATTTGAATGCTTTTCATCATGGTGCAGAACTATTTGAAAGAATAAAGGAATTAGAAGGTGTGGCTTTATTGGAGTTGGTGTGGCCTTGTTAGAGGAAAAGTGTCCTAGAGGATGGGCTTTGAAGTTTCAAAATCCCATTCCAGGCCCAGTCTGTCTCTGCCTCTCTCAGCAGATCTCTGATACAGATCAGAGAATCAGGATGTAGCTAGCTAACTGCCATGCTTCCTGTCATAATGACAATGGACTAAGTCCCTGAAAACTATAGACAAGCCCCCAAATAAATTCTTTCCTTTATGAAACAAACAAACAAAAAAAGAATCGCCCAGATAAAAAGAAGTTTAACTGGTTAAAATTAGCAATGTTTTTGGCGACAAAAAAGAGCAGTGCTTGGACTTTATGAGCTTCTCCTAGCTACTGACATGAACTGCTGGTGTTACCGTACCAATAGTGATTAAGTCTTCATAACTGAAGGCATGCTGCAGACTGCTTTTCTATTTTTATAATCTCTGTGTTTGTGTGTGTGTGTGTGTCTGTCTGTCTGTCTGTCTGTCTGTCTGTCTCTCTGTCGGTGCGTCTGTGTTTGCTTGTCTGTATGTGCACCCTAGGCATTCAATGCCTCTGAATGTCAGAAGAGAGCATCATATCCTCTAGTACAGAACTTACAGGCAGATGTGAACCAGTCAATTTGAGTGCTGGGAACAAAACTTGGTTCTTCAACAAGAACAGCAAGTACTCTTAACCAATCAGCCATCTTTCCAGCACCTAGACTAAGTTTTAAGTGAATTTATTATTTTAATTATGTTATAATTACATTATAAAATATATTATATGCTTTGTACATACTATCAAAATACTTCACTACCTTCCTTTTATTATGTCTCTTTATTGTCTTGGACAGTTTAATTTCTACTTTCATGTCATATGTTTGAATATAAGTTTATATGTCTATATAAAATCTGTAATCCATAAATAAAAGGAAACGTACAATAATTGGCTTTATGAGATTGTCTTAATTTGCTTAATATGATTATCTACAATTAGCTCCCTTTTCTTAATGATGGAACTTCGTTCTTCTTTATGACTGAAATATTCCTCTGTGTATGTGTATGTTTGTGTGTCAGTGTATGTATGTCTGTGTATGTTTGTGT